CTCTCTCTCTCTCTCTCTCTCTCTCTCTCTCTCTCTCTCTCTCTCTCTCTCTCTCTCTCTCTCTCTCTCTCTCTCTCTCTGCCCGTCCTCTCTCCTCCCTCCATCGAGAGAGAGAGAGAGAGGCACCGGAGGCACCATCACCATCCCTTCTCCCTCGCCCGTCCTCCTCCCTCCATCAAGAGAGAGAGAGAGAGAGGCACCATCACCATCCCTCCTCCCTCGGCCCGTCCTCCATCCCTGCCTCGACCCTCGCTCCTCCCTCCCTCAACCCTGCCCCATCGGCCCTCCCTCCTTGCTCCCTTTCTCCTTCCTTCTTTCCTCCCTCGCCTTCTCCCCCCTCCCTCCAGTGGCGTTACCTTCTTCGTCCCTTCGTCCTCCCTCGGTTCGTGCTCCCTTAGCTTTCTCAATTTGTGTTAAGGATTAGCGCCACATTTTTTTTTATAATGTGAACAAGGGCGAGCGTGTGCTCTCGCGAGTGCGGTCGCACACAGCCGCACACAGCGAGGGGTGTGTGTGGAGAGAGAGAGAGAGAGAGAGCTGACTCAATGTGGTGTGTGTAGGGATTGGGGAAGAAGAGAGTGAAATATGGAAAGAAATATCGATAGCCTGAAATACCTGGCGCAGGGTAGTTAATCATAAGGCCGCTCCAAAAAGAAAAGACCGAGGGAGAATGTTGAGGAGGAAGGAGACAGACAATGACAAAGAAGGTGCGAGGAAGGAAGTTTGTTGGGTGAAATGTGTTTCTCTCTCTCCCTCTTGCGCGTGTGCAACAGTGTTGGGATCTTAAAAGAAATGGAGTGATCTTGATAACAAATGGCGCGTTTACATCCACCGGATAAAGGAAACGAAGTATTTCTTACGTCGGGCGTAACGAAGGAAGGGCGGCTGGTCGAGGGAGGAAGGGGGAGGTAGGGAGTAGGACGGAGGGAGGAATGGAAGTAGGAGGTCAGTTGGTGATCGGGCTGAGGAAGGAAGGGGAGGGGGGAGATAGAGTGAAGGAGGAGGTCAGACAGAGACCAGGCGAACGAAGGGGGCAAGCGAAGGGGAATGAGGCGGCCAGGCGGACGGAGGCTAGAGGGAGGTTGAAGAGAAGGTGTGGAGGAGGCCTGTAGGGAGGGGAAAGGCGGCAGAGAGTAGGGCGGAAGCAGGAGGTCAGGTGGAGATCGGGCCAAGGAAGTAAGGGGAGGAAGGAGATTGGGGGAAGGAGGAGGTCAGTGCAAATCGGGCGGAGGAAGGAATAGGACGGAGGGGATAGAGGGAAGGAGGTCAGGCGGAGATTGGGCGAAGGAAGGGGAGTCAGGTGGCCAGGCGAGGGAGGGCAGAGGGAGGTTTAAGAGAAGGTCCAGAGGAGGCCGGGAGAAAAGGGAGGCGGCAGGGAGAAGTAGGGCGAAGGGAGGACAGAAAGCAGAACGTAGTTYAGAGGTTGAGTGAYRTATGGAGGAAGGGAAGAGGTAAGGGGGAGACGAGCATGGGAAAAAGCGTGAAGAGGAAGAGGAGGAAGTGGAAGGAGGCCAGGAGGAAGGGGAAAGATGGCAGGGTGAAGTCGGGCGGAGGGAGGGATGGAAGGAGGAGGGAAGGCAGGAGGTTGGGTGGGGAACGAAGCAAGGGAAGAGGTCAGGTAAAGGAGAGAGAGTGTGAGAGAGAGAGAGAGAGAGAG